CAATTACAATATATTGTGACTTGCACAGACTCTATAATATTCTCTGAGGGCCTCTTTCTCCATAGATGAGTTCTACAGTATGTGGGTCAATTTTTGTCCAAGATTTTACAATAACACTTTGTGTATCCACATTCTCATTAATAGCCTGCAGGTTTTGATAATTTAGAGGAGCATATTTATTCAGATGGTCTAGTACAGCGGTTCTCAACCTGTGGGTCATGACCCCTTTGGGGGTCAAATGACCCTTTCACAGCGGTCACCTAAGACCATCGGAAAACACATATTTCCGATGGTCTTGGGAACCAAGACACCACTCTTCTATCTGTCTCCAGGCGGATAAAAACAACACAGAGAATGGTAAGACTTAAAGCATCAAAGGAGCAACTCCCTGCCTCTCAGGTAGAGCTAGCAAAAGCCAACGACTCAGCCTGTCTTCTCCCAGCCTTTTCACCAATCAGAAGCCGTGGCCTGGACATTGGCATCTGTGACGTATCTTCCCGGGGAATCTGTGAAGCCGGCAGAGCTGCTCGCACCTCTGTGGAAGAGGGAGACGGGCTGGCGGGGAATTGAGGAGGGGGTGAGACAGGAGGAAGAGGAGGAGGAGGGAGGGAAGGAAGGGTTGTTAGCTGTGGAATCAGCATGACGGAGGGTTTTGCCATGGGGTGGGTTCCTTTTGTATTTTGATTCCCTCCCTTTTGGAGGGATGAATGGACATTTTATGATCTGGGGGAAAAAAAATCTGGTGTCTGTGAATAAAAGCACCGTCAATCATCTTTTCTTTCCGCCAGCTTACCTTGATGCATTCAGTGCAATTGCTTTTTTAAATAGCACTTTTGGATTGTATTTTTTTTATCTTAGCTTTTTTTTAAAAAAAACTGGGGTCGGTCTTTGACCTTGCGTGGGGGGGGGGTTTGCAAGCACCTTAATTGAGTCTCCCCACCCCCATCTGTGGGATTTTCCTCGAGATTGCTAGGAGCTGTGCTTAAACTTGGAATCGCCCGGCTGCAAGCGAAGAGAAGGGAGTTGGCACGGGCGAGAAAGCCAGCAAGCCAGCCTGCGTGCCTGCCAGCCCGGATTGCGAGCTTCCCTTCGCCTTTTTCGTCATGAATCGGGAGCAAGCCAACCTTGAGATTTTCCCTCCTCCCGCCTTTAAACGACTCCTTTTATTCTGCCTCCCGCCTGGTCGGGATCCAAAGGCGAGGCTCCGATTGGAGAAGTGTATATTCCACTGCCAGAAATTGTTAGGAAAAAGGAAATGTATTGAGAGAGGGACTTGTCAGAAAACATTTAGATGAGAATCAAGTGTGCTCAGTGGAAGGTGAAAATGTTGGAATGAGAGAATGAAATAGCTGGAATCTGGGATAGCTGTAAAGTCGTATCCTTCTGTTTTGGGAAACTTCCATGAAAAAGTAGTCATGTAACCCCTCGCTTCATCCACAAAATGTTACAGGGGTTCTGATTTTTTTATTTATAACCCTTTTTCTTTCTTCCATTCTCTTGCTGCTTTTCCTTCAATTGGTCATGTGATCAAAATGTGGATGCTTGGCAGCTGGCCTGTATTTATGACGGTTGCAGTGTCCCAGGGTCATGTGATTATTTTTAGCAATCTTTTGACAAGCAAAGTCAATGGGGAAGCCAGATTCATTTAACAACTGTATTCCTAACTTAATAACTGCAGTGATTCACTTAACAACTGCAGCAAGAAAGGTTGTAAAATGGGTGCAACTCACTTAACAACTGCCTTGCTTAGCAACAGAAATATTGGGCTCAGTCGTAGTCGTAAGTTGAGGACTAGCTGTAGTTGTGGAATTCCTTTTGTTGGATGGTTCTGTCTTCTGGAGTCTAGAGTCTGATTCTGCATATCAGATATTTACATTACGATTCATAACAGTAGCAAAATTATAGTTATGAAGTAGCAACTAAAATACTTTTATGGTTGGTGGTCACCACAACATGAGAAACTGTATTAAAGGGTTGTGGCATTAGGAAGGTTGAGAACCATTGGTCTAGTATAAGGTTCACTAGATGTATGGCAGCTCATCTTACTGTTATCTTTTCCTATGTATATACAGAGGCATTCAAATTGTTCTGTTGTGTTTCATTATTTTAACATTGATCTACAACAGTGTTTCCCAAACTTGACAATTTTAAGGCATGAGGACTTCAACTCCCAGAATTCCACAGCCAGCAACGCTGGCTGTGGAATTCTGGGAGTTGAAGTCCTCATGCCTTAAAATTGTCAAGTTTGGGAAACACTGATCTACAATCATAGTGAAAGGTATTTTGATTTTTTGCTGCATATTCTCAGTGGAATTTTTAAATCAAGTTTATCCATTTTTTTGTTATGGTAAAAGAGACTATAATGTTTGTTGGAAAAGTTCCCACAAATTCCAATCTCTAAGCAGCTGCCTTCTCATCTCTGGATGGTTGGGATTACAGAATTACAGAAGATTAAGAACTGTAGCTCTAATGCACCTAGAAAGCACGTTTTGGAGAAGAGAAACTTGTTGGAAAAACAGTCATGCTCCTTTTGGTACAGAGCCCCTGAATTAACTGGTAGCTAATCCTCAGGTATAGTTCAAAACATAGTGACATGTTTTAATGACTGGTTGGGTAGAAAGTTGTGGGGGGGGTGAGGGTGAGAAGATGAGTTGGATATTTATCATGAAATGAAGCACACAATGAACAATAGCAAAATCTATCCCTTGCTTTGTTTTCTTCTGCTTTTTCCACCCTCTGCGATAGCTGTTTGGCTTTGACTTCCCTCCCATCCTCCATGTATTTCATTTTATTATCAAAACAGCCCCCCCCACCAGAACTTATTAATGAAACCATCAAGCAAACATGTTCTTCAGAAACACGCGTGTTAGCTTTGCTCCATAAAAACCAGCCTGCTTTTTTCCTGGATGAACCTGCCCAATCTGCTTAGGATGTCTGGCAAAGCCATGTGCATAGTGGATCGAGTCAGAGTAGCCAGCTACCACAAAGGATACACACACTAATAGAAATGATATGAATGCTAACCAGCTGAAATGTACCAGGAAGAGAAAGGCTGCTTTAGAAAAGCTAGAACAGTAAAAAGATGAGTCAGAATTCCAAGTGTGCAACACTTTCATTTCTTCTGCATATCAAATTTAAAACTTAAGAAAGATTATATTGCTAAAGCAGCAGCAAACACTTAGCAACAGTATGTGTGGGGAGAAAAGGGTGCATGATGAACAAAGCTGTGCTGCATCATGACAAACCTCTACCCCTCCTGCAAATGCCCCGAGACCTTACACAAAAGCAGGGCAGGAGTGGAGGTTTCAGCATGATGGTATACCACAGCCACCATTTCGACAAAAGGAACAAGTTGCTGTTGACACCCATATATACAGGCGTATAAAATGTCTGTAAAGCCTATAAAAAGGGTATAAAGCCCAAAGATCCAATATCCAAAGCTAAAGGCAATATTGTACGGTAATTGAGCAGATGTTATACTTCCCTCATTGATCATCCTCAAAATCTTGACTTGATAGGTGTTCATGGTGCACATTTTATACCATTTCTCCATTTCTGACTTTGCTTTTGGTCCTCCCCATATTGTAACTCTGGGACAGGACAGACAATTGAGGAAAAAGAATTTCTAACCCTCAGCTTCCTCCATGTCTGTGCCTGGATGGGACGGGAACCATGGTTCCACCATGCTAGAATATAATATGCATGATTATGGTTCACTGAATGACAGTTCTCTTTTACACATGCCAAACCACAAATCATGATTAAAATCACAATGATTTGGTTCACTGGGTACCCAAAGGAAACCACAGTAATGTCAAAACGATAAGACTTGCACGATATAACCACACAAACCACTCCAAACTTGTGTCCTGACAAAGGATGCTAGTTACATATGCACAACAATATTATCACACCCTCTCAGATACCATCTCACATAACAAACTAAAACCATACCAAGAAACTATTAAAATCCTAATCTGAAAAATGTAGCTGTAATTCAGAGCCTGGGAGAAAGTGCTGGTGTTTAATTGGCTCAACTTTAATGCCTACTGCTATAAATACTGTTTCCAGTAATGCCTACTGGAAACAAAATTAATATCCAAGTTGTATCCGTTTATTATCAGAAGAAAACTCACACTTCCTAATTGGAAACAAATGCCAGTTTTGTACAATCTAATTCCAGAAGAGCCTGGAAATTTTCAGCTATTTTCATTTAGGGCTCAAACATGAGAAAGAACTGACTGTTCTGCAATGTGAGAAAGAACTGAATTCCTCCCTCAAAGAGTTAGAACACAAATACAGAAGTTCATGTAAGTAACAAAGAAGTTGCACAGAGCACAGCAGTGAGTCAGGTCTGTGGTCTTATGGAAATTCCACTTCATGGACTTTAGGACACAGGCAGACAAGTGCTGTAAAATGAATGGGATGGATGGAGCTTTGGTACGACCAAAATGTGTGTTCCATTTGGTTCTCTTCCAGGCAAATCTCAGAAATTGTGATGAAGTCACTCATAGCAAAGTAACTTAAGACGATGCTCGAGCTAACAATCTGCCCCCAGCAAAGAGGACCCCAACGCTCAGCAATAGGAGGGATGGCCAATTTAACCCTATTCGACCATCGCAACGGCAAACACGTTGCGCGTCTGGGGGATTTCCTGTTCAGGTAACGAAAGTTCATTTCTGTCACCCCCTCCGACGCTTTTCTGATCATAATGAGCGCCTGCCCCACTTGGTGCCCACTCGCTGTGATGAACCACATACAACTCACTACTCCGAACAGCCCTGGCTTAAGCTAAGCGGGACTAATGAGAGCTGTAACGTCACGCGGCCGTGGGAAGGCACCGCGGTGACGGACACCCGGGATTCAAATGAGGAACACAATCGCCGGTGTTTCGTCCCCGCCTTTAGCGGCAGCCTCGAATGCTTCAGCCGATTCCAGGAAGAGAGCTGCCCACCCCACCGGCGCCCAGCCAGCTCTCCCCTCCCAGGTCCATCACTCACCGCCGGGCGGCACCAGGAGGCCCAGAAGGACGCAAAGACTCCAGAGGGGACTCTGGGCGAAGGCCATCGTTCTCCTTCTCCTAAGGCGAGGGAGCAGCTGCGCCGCAGTGACTACGACGGCGACCCTTTCTGCCGTCTCCCTACGTCAGCGTCTCGAAACGGGGCGTTCCTTTTGCCCGTCAAAGAGCTCCGCCCGTCGGATGTGCCGGAGAAGGGGGGGAAGGTTTCCGCGTTGCGCCCGCACAGATTTCTCCTTAGGTTTCGCTTCCCGTTTCCCGGAGATCACGGGAGGTCGAGAAGCGAAAGGATCAAGTTCATTGATCCGGGAGGGGAAGGCACCGAGGTGTGATTGTGGCACCAAGCGTGCCCGGAGCGGCTGGTGAAAGTGAGACAGTTCGCCTCGTCTACACATGTAGACGTGACTTGGGTCAGACTTCCGTAGGCTACACTTACTTAGGCTGCTGGATTTGCCCATTACGTTGCCGTTTGTGGCAATGCGATTTCTATATGGTAGCCTTCGGGTTTTATCATCTCGGTAAGCCAATGGTGCTTTCCCCTAAAAACAGTGATTAAATCCAATCTGTGATTGTCTGAATCGGGGGTCTTCAAACTCAGCCCTTTTATGACTCATGGACTTCAACCCTCAGAATTCCTCAGCCAGCGTGCCTGGCTAGTCTACATCATGTCCTTGTCTGTAGTTAATTGACTTAAACCAGGGATCTGCAACCTTGACAACTTTAAGACTTGTGGACTTTAGCTCCCAGAATTCCTCAGCCAGCATGGGAGCTGAAGTTCACAAGTTTTAAAGTTGTCAAGGTTGCAAACCCCTGACTTAAGCCATTGCTTTGTTCTCACAGCACGCTACTATAAAGTAGCAACACAGGTTGTGATCACACAAGAAGATTACGGTAATTTCTAATTGACTACCTCCTAAGTTCAGTGTTGTGTGAACCATAGTCGCTCAGTGATCTCACACTGCACTCTGCCAAAAGCAATCTAATTTAGTTTTTGGCTCACATGTACAATAATGTGGAATCCAGCCAAATCCAAGTTTAATTATGACTCGAGTGCCCTGTGCGACCCTAGCAAATTTCATTCCGGAGGTGTAGCAGCAAAGTCAATGCTTTTAGTATGCAAAGCTACTCAAGTTAGTAGATACCCAAAGCAGAATCTGTAGACTAGCCTGGAGTATAAGCAAATGAATTTCTATCACTGCTGCTGCGATCTCAATGTGCTCTTACAGTTGTCTGAACAGAGCAAGTAAACATTTTGCTAGAAACAAATTTTGTAGTACCGTATTTTTCCGTCTATAAGGCGCACCCTTGTATAAGACACTCTGGCAGGCGGGTTTCTCCTTGCCGATCAGCTGTTCGGCGGAACAAATCTGGAAGTTTGGCTGGCCAACGATCTTGCCCCCTCCCCCTTCCCATTAGTGGCAAGCCTACAGGGGTTTGACACCTTCACCAGGCGGCATGGCAACCCACAAAGGCATGCCCTGGGCTGTGGAGGTTACTATTATTTTTCCGTGTATAAGATGCTATACTAGTATAAGACGTACCTGATTTTTGAACAGGGTGTTTGCAGGAAAAAATAGTGTCTTGTACATGGAAAAATATGGTAATTACTCTATGTACTGTGGGAAGAATCCAGAGAAAGAAATATTTTGGGAAATATTAAAAAGGCAGAATATATTTCCCTAAATCAGTGGTTCTCAACCTGTGGGTTGGGACCCCATTTGGGGTCAAATGACCATTTCACGGGGGTCGCCAAACAACGCAGTCTGCCATTTCCCCCCCCCCTTTCCTTAGCTGTGCTACTCCCTTTTATTCTATTGGCTTTTGAAAGCCAATAGAATAGACTCTCTTGAATAGAGTCTAATTCTATTGGCTTTCAAAAGCCAATAGGAATTGTCCAGGCTGTCTCTGCCCTGCTGAGCCCGCCAAAAGTCCCATTCTGCAAACGGTGCTGCACCAGTTGAGTAGTCCTCGACTTACGACCGGTTGAGTAGTCCTTGACTTATGACTGGTTGGGGGTCGCGGCATTAAAAAGGTTGAGAACCACTGCCCTAAATGAATAATGGAGAAGATCTTAAAGACAGAAATCAGCCCCCCAGCCCCAGCCCCTCTTTCCCAAGCAGAAACTAGGCAGAGGCCAGCTTTTAGAATGCAAATTCAATAATCCTTTCAGAAAGGTTTGAGCCTTCCAGCTAGAAACTGAAGAAATTAAGAAGACAAAACCCCCTAAAATCTACATGCTCCCACCCAAATTCTAAGGACAGGAAACAATAGGATTAACCCACCAATACCAAAAGGACACACTCAGACTCAGATCAAAATACATGGCACTGGAAATACAAAGCCTCAAACAGGAACAGGAAACAGCCTCAAGAGCCACAGAAGGTATAAAAACTTACCACTCCCTGCTACATATGGTCAGTTTTTCCAGAGCCATCTTTCTGTCTGGCTCTCCTCTTCAATAAACTGCAACCTTCTTTTTAAAGCAGTGTCCATTTTGTTTATTCTTGGCTTGGACTGGACCCTGGTGAAGATTTTTCCTTCAACAGTACTAATATAAAAGAGAATTCTAAGAGCCTGAAGATCTGTGTCTGAAAAGATACCTTGCTAGTTTGCCTCAGCTTAGGAAATTTTTAAGATAGTCTTTACCGTGGGTGGGAAACCTCTATCCATTCTGATCTTGTTCAATTCTAACTAATACTGAAGGAGGTATAGCACAACTACCAAGACAAAACCTTCACTGATTTTAATCTGAAAACCATGTTTATTAATCTCAGGCTTTGTGCTAGATGCTTCCTGTAATTGTTTCCTTCATTATTAATTGGTCAATATATCAGAACTAGAACCCGATGCTGTTAATATTGTGATGAAGTCTATCCTTTGAAATTTGTATTTTTTTGCAAAGAAGTGCACCTTATACGAAGTGTCTCAAGATATCAGAAACGTATACTGTACCTTTTGTGAACCACAAAAGGATATATTTACAGTATGCTACACCCACCTAATCCTCTCCATATTCTTCCTTATTCCTAAAAAAAATTAACATGTAAAGGAATTGTCCTCAGTGGAGGTTGCTTCCTTCAATTTTTCTCTGCTCAAATTCCTTCACTCTTCTTCATTTCTCAAAATCATGGCTGGCATAAAGGCAAAAAGATATAACATTAGAGACTTACTTTGAACGCAGGAGAATCTTTTTTCCAGTCTGAATGTGCACTGCATTGATGCATTCACACTATTTCACAGTAACCATGAGATAAATCATAAAACAAAGTTCAGGAATATTTCTTTATCCCATTGTTTTGCAAATCTATGTACACTACAAATTGTATGATTTTTTTTGAAGAGAAATGCATCTGTACCAGGCTCTAAGTGTTTTAATTAAATAAAAGAATTTGAGCAGTTCTCCAACCATGTGTGGTTAACCTATTAACCTAAAATCAGTTCTGATACTGCTGTTTTACTAAGCTGACAGCTTATTGTTCTAAATAGGAAATCTTCATTTTGTTTGCAAATAATAATATTAAAGATTCTGACTACCAGCAAGAAAGAGTCCTTACATTTAAAGAGCACCTGTCATTTCAGATCCATCATGGCAGCGCCTGTTAGCGGGCATCCACTCACCTGCTGCCCGCCATGTCCCTCACCTTTTTGTGTCACTGTCGTATCACCAGCACTCCCATTAAAGTGAATGGTGCTGTCAGTGAGTCAACAGCAAGTCAGAGGAGGAGCCACTGCAGGACAGAGATGACAGTTCCTCTTTAAAAATTATGATTTAAATTGAGTTGATTTAAATCAACCCTTTTTACTAGTGATTTAAATCATGATTTAAAATCCACCCTGCACTGAATCTTTCTTAGGTTCCCTCTGAGTTTGTTAAAGTCAGCTCTTTTGAAGTTTAAGACACTGGTTGGATTGTTTTCTTTTTTATATATATAAATATTTTATTAGATTTTATAGGGTAGGGCAGTGATGGCGAACTTTTAGAGACCGAGTGCCCAAACTGCAACCCAAAACCCACTTATGCATCGTTGAGTGCCGGGTGGGTATGGCCCATTGGGTGGGTGTGGCCCATTGGGTGGGCGTGGCTGCAGTGGTAATGGCAGACTGGGTGGGACTAAAAAGTTCAATCAATCAATTCCAACTTTGCAAGATCTTTTTTTTCCCGTGAGAAGTTGAAATTGATTGGTTGAACCTTTTTTTTTTTTTTGCACATGACAGCGGAGGCCTAAAGCAAAAAGGTTTTATAAAACCCAGCTGAAGGCCTAGGACTGGGGCAACGGCCCGCGTGCCCACAGTGAGGGCTCTGAGTGCTGCCTCTGGCATCCGTGCCATAAGTTCGCCACCACTAGGATAGGGAAAGGATAGGGTATATACGGATATGGGGAAGAGTGGGAGTAAGGAATTAAGGATAGGGTAGGGTTGGAGTTAGGGGAAGGTACAATAATGCGGTAACCCCCAACAATAATCTCATGCTTTAACAAGCAAACTACCGTCTAGATATACATATCAAATAAACATAGTTTATATAATACTAAACAGTTATAATGAACTATAATCATCTAGTTAAAAATTAATAAGTAAATACAATTCCTTTAAATAAATAAAATATAAACTAATTCTAACTGTCTCCACTAATATTTAAAATCACTAATAGTAACGCTATTATTAACCTAGAGCACGGGTTGGCAACCCGTGGCTCCAGAGTTGCATGTGGCTCTTTTAGCTGTCTCCTGCGGCTCCCAGCCAGATGCAGTGCCAAAAAAAAAAAAAAAAAAAAAAAAATAGGACTAAAAAAGTTGAACCAATCAATTCAAACTTCTCACGAAAGAAGTTTGAATTGATTGGTTCAACTTCTTTGGTTTGTGGGACGCTGTTTGCCATGGGCTCAACATAGATGGGAGGGGGGAGAAAGACAGCTCCGGAGGGAGATAGCCCTGTAGCAAGAAGCCGGCGGTCCGAGTGGAGTGGCACGGAAGACCTACCTGTCGGCGTGGGAAGCGAGTAAGGCTTGGCATCCGTGGCCCGGTTCTGCATCCCGACGATCAGCTGGATTGGCTTTCACTGCTCCAACCCGGGGATGCCAGCGGCATAGAAAGCGGTTTGGTGGCGCTGCCGTGGCCAGGGTGTCCTTGCAGCGGACAGCTTGGGCA